CTTTCCTCTGATCTGATTGAGAAACACAGAACACCTTGATGGCTCTGGAACATGGGCTGCTGTGAGACTGAATCCCAACTGGGGGCTTCAGCATTCTTAGAAATGATAAAAGTGCTTTGATCATGGTCTAAAACACACTGAAAGAAACTGGCCTCATTCCTGAGCCAAATCCCTGCCACTCCCCACAACCCCCAGAAGACAGGGCTTCACTATGTAGCTCAGGCTGGCCTTGAACTCTCATCTTCCTTCCTAAGTCTCCTGAGTGCTGGGACGACAGGTATATACCCCCATTCCTGGCTTGCCATCTTCTTTTTGAAATTTCTTTTTTATTTAATGTGTATGACTATTGTCTGCATGTAAGTACATTCATACATGCAATACCCATACAGGCTAGAAGAGGACATTGGATCTCCTAGAACTGGAATTACAGATGGTTGTTAGGTTGTTAGCTGCCATGTGGGTACTGGGAACTAAACCTGGGTTCTCTGGAAGAGCAGCCAGTGCTCTCAACTGCTGAGCCATCCCTCCAGCCCCATTTTCTTATTTTTATTTTATGTGTATGAATGTTTCGCTTGCATGTGTGTGTGTGTGTGTGTGTACCACATGTATACAGTACCCAAGGAGGCCAGGAGAGGGCATCCTATATCCTGGAACTGGAATTATAGATAGTTGTTAGCCACCATGTGGGTGCTGATAACCAAATCAGGGGTCTTCCACAAGAGCAGCCAGTGTTCTTAATTGCTGAGCCATATCTCTATCCGCACTTGCCACTTTATAAGGACATTTGAGAGACCATTAGGGCCAGCTTGGATAATGCAGGACCACACAGGATGATCTCTCCAAAGATTCCTTTCAGACAGGGTCTCATATAACCCAGGTTGGTCTAGAACTTGCTATGTAGCCAAGGATGATCTCCTGCTAGTCCTCCTGCCTCCACTTCCTGAGTGCTGAGGTTAGTATCATGCCCAGTTTATGCAGTCCTGGGGATCAAACCCAGGGCTTCGTGTATGCTGGGCAAGCACTCTACCAACTCTGGGAGTTTGTGTGGCACAAATGCATGCTCCAGAAGTCAACAGTGGCAAAGTGAGCTGAGAACTCCCAAGATGCCAGTGTAAGAGGTTCTTTTGTATCTGAAGCACTGAGCTGGGCCCTTACCTAGTTGGCACAAGGCCCTGAATTCAGTCCCTAGTACCATAAGAAGGAAGGAGAGAGACAGAGAGAGAGAGAGACAGAGAGAGAGACACAGACAGAGAGACAGAGAGGTAGAGAGACAGAGACAGAGAGACAGAGACAGAGAGAGACAGAGAGACAGAGACAGAGAGGGAAGGAAGGAGGGAGGGAAGGAGGGACCCACTGGATTCCATCATATGGCAGTCACTGCTTAACCTCAGGAAGAGTGGATCCTACAGAAAAACAGAACCAGTGGACTGAGGGTTCATTGAGAAAGAAAGAAATGGAGAAAGTTATGCAGGCATGGGATGTAGCTCAGTTGGTAGAGTGCTGGCCTAGCATGTATGAGGCTCTGGGTTCAATCCCCAGCACCACATAAACTGAATATAGTGGCCCATGCCTATAATCCTGGCACTCAGGAAGCTGAGGCAGGGAGGCTCAAAAGTTCAAGGTCATCCTTGGCTGCATATCAAGTTTCAAGTCACCTTAGGCTACAAGAGACTCTGCCTCAAACAGGCAAGAAAGGAGCTGGGGAGATGGCTCAGTGGATAAAGCACTTGCCACACATGTGTGAGGACTAGAGTTTGGAGTCCCAATAGCCACATAAAAAGCCAGGCACGTGTGGTGGCCTGTCTGTAATCCCTGCATAGGAGGCAGAGACAGGAGAACCCCAGGCCAGGCTGGCTAGCTGGACTCGGGAATTGGTGGAGAGACCCTGCCTCATTAAATAAAGTAGACAGCAACCAAGGAAGACACCCAGTATCAACCTCTGGCTTCCACATGAATACACATGCACACATACACATGTGAACATATACCGCACACACACATATATGCAAAAAACAAAGTGATTATGCAGAACTTTAAGTAATGGCTCCAACTGCCTGTGTCAAGCAGCCAGGTGGTGGTGAGAGAGCAGACCTTGAGCAAACTGTGAAAGCTTGCCCCTCTGAATTCTGGGAAATTCCTGTGACCTAGGCTGGGAATTCCAAAGTTTCCTTTGTGGAGGCTGGAGAGATGGCTCATGGTTAAGAGCACTTGCTGCTTTTGCAGAGGACCTGGGTTCCGTTCCCAGCACCCACATGACAGATCTGCCTGTAACAGGGGATCCAATGCCCTTTTCTGGGCTCCATGGAAGCCTGCATGCATGTGGTGCACCTAAACTCATGAAGGCAAACACATATACTCATTAAATAAATTAATAACTCTTTTAAAGACTTTCCTTTGCTATATTACCCTTGTAAGGACCCTAAACTTGGAAGAGGAGTGTTTTGCCATCAGTGACACAGTACTACCAGAGAGGGAGGCGTGGAAGGGACAGGCAGAAAACAACAGGCAGCACGGCTCCTCAGAATTTGTTTTCCAGTAAGTTTCTGTTTTGCATTTAAATCCAGATCCTCATGAATATTTATAGAAAATCACTAACACAAATAAACTTGCTAGCAAGCAGTGGCAGGTCTCTTCCTTAGTTCCCCTGGGTTATGGTTTGAATCTGAAATGCTCCCCCTGGCTCATGTTTTGAATGCTCAGTCCTCAACCTGTGGTGTTATTTGGAAGGCTATGGAGACTTCAGGAGGCAGGGCCTGTCAGACAGAAGCAGGTCACTAGGGATAGGCTTTTGAAGGTTATAACATACACACACACAAAACACACACACACACACACACACACACACACACACACACACACACACTTAGTTCCAGCAGTATTCTCTGCTTCCTGGTTTGAGGCCAATGAGGGGCTGGGGTGTGACTCAGTGGTAGAGCACCTGCCTAGAATCCCCCAGTGAGGGGCTGGGGGTGTGGCTCAGTGGTAGAGGACCTGCCTAAAATCCCCCAGTGAGGGGCTGGGGGTGTGGCTCAGCAGAACACTTGCATAGCATGCAAACAGCCATTAGGACCCAACCCAAATACTGGGGGGGGGGGGGGCAGAGAAAGAAAGGAAGAAAAGAGGGCAACATGTTTTAGCTCTCCTGTTTCCACATGTTTGTGTTTATAAAGAACTTGTGAGAATCTTCTAACTTGAAGCTAAATAGGTCAGAGAAGGGGAAATGGAGAAAACAAAGACTTTCCCAAGTCTGGCTTCCAGATACCTTACCAGATGCTCACTGTCTCTCATATGTAGCCCAGGCTTGTCTTAGAATTTCCATCCTCCTGTCTCAGCCTCCCCAGTTGATAGAATGTGAGATGAGCCATGAGCCTAATTAGAAAAGCAATATAACCATAAATCCCTTAAAGTGGCTAACTGGCCTTGCTCAAGCCTTACCCTTGGACTGAGGGAGACTGTTCATGGAGCCAGCCTGTGTCCTTTAGTGCGCTAAGTTAGCTCTGTTGTTTGAGAAAATAATCTTGGGGGGAAGACCCTCAATCAAGGACACCAGCCCCTGGCACCTAGCAATTTCCTGAAGCTGTGTACGGCAGAATTTCTACAAAAGTGGAAACCGTCTCTCCCTTCAACGCACATGCCTTCTTCGAGAGGCAAGGTCTCGGCCTTCCGCTGTGTCCTCTGAATAAAAGGACACATTCCTTGCCTGTGGCAGGTCTGGCTCTGGTTCTTATTTCTAAACTTTAAACTCCTTCCTTCTCTGCCCTCCTAAATCTAACACCAGTAGCTGGGATTTCCAGATAATGTACCACACTCAGCTCTCAGCATCTTGGAAGCTGCCTGGACAAGCTTGAGGGAAGGAACCACTTACAGACACTCCACAGCACCCAGACCCACACACTTTTATCTTCAGCCTCATGGAACTGTCCCAGAATTCCCTCTCCTCAGCCTTCCCATGCTCACTTACAAAAGGAAAGAAAAGTTCAGAAAACCCTGGCCCAAAGTCCCCAGTGTGGGGACTTGGATTGGAGCCTGTGAGTGGATGACTCTAAATCCCACGCTTTTACCACCAAAACTAGATGCAAACTAGAAAGAGCAGGTTTGTTTCCACTTGGAGGTCAAAGGCCTATTGAGGCGGATGGCGGGAGACTAAATGGAAGTTAGAAGACTGAAGAATAAAAAGAAATCAGGAAACCTCATTTCCGGGAATGAATTTGACATTCTAGGCATTACCAGAAGATATTGGAAAGAAAACAGAAGAGAGTGTGACTTGGGAAGTGGGGAGCAGGTGTGGGGCCACATTGTCTAAGATTTGGAAAACAAACCAGGAAGTAGGAACAGAAAAATATGTTTGGAAGTCAGGTCAGATCAGATCAGACCTCCAGGGAGAGAAGAGCCGCAGGGGCCCCAACTGTGGGTTGAGAGGAAATTGGGTTTATGACGGACCTTCCTTTCTCTGGTCATGTGACCAAGGCTGCTGTAAAAGCTTTCCACCAACCAAATCCCTCATGATTTTGGTTTTGGTTTTTCCCCCTCACTTTGTGTGAAATGGGTCACAGTCACTGCTGAAACTCGGCTGCCCGTATTTCCCCATAGCTTCGGGGCATTTCCTCTGAACAAACCCCAAGCAGCCCTCTAACCTGGAGCCAAACAAGGCAAGCCAGCTTATATTAGGGTGTGCACTCTGGGACAAGACACTGGGACTTGAATCTGAGGAGCAGGTGTTAGGGGAGGCTGGAGGATGTCTGATAGAAACATAAAGATCAAACAGGCAGTGGGGTGGGGGTGGATCTGGGAATTGAAAAGGAGTGTGGGGGTGAGACCAGTGAGTAAGGAGGGTTACCAACCTACTGGAAAAGGAGTCACTCTGTCAAGAACAGTCCTCCTGTGTATAGTTAAAACACCTGTGCTCTCTGGTCTTCCATGAATATGTGTTGAAAACTGGGGGGTACAGGTCAAAGGTACTGGCTCCCTCTTCCCCCTTGGCTTCCCCTTTCTGATAGGGTCCCAGAGGTGCTGGAACAGAGGCCAAGAAAATAAGTGGAAAGCAACCCGAGGTCTGCAGTCTGCAAAAGGAGGTAGGTGCTGAGCTGGTGGGGGGGGGGGGCACCTGCAGGTGGCCAGAGCCAGTTTGGGATTGGCAGTGCATGCCTTCTGAAAGCCTCCTTCATCCCGAGGCATGCCACACCTTCCTGCTCCTTCCCAGCTGTTGGAAATGCATGTCTTCCTCCGACTGCTGGTTCTGCCTTCCTTTCCCACTGATCAGAGCCAGCAGTCAGACTGGGAACTGATAACATTCACTTCCTATTATCTATGAGACAAATAGGAATAAATAAATAAATAAAGCTTGGGGAACAACGGGGGAATTCCCTTGGGAAGTCAAGAGTTGGTCTCCCCCAGAGACACAGGACGGCAAATGCAATAACTAGGGCTTAATATCCCGCCCAAGGCAAAGTCAATAATTGCTCTGGGCAGTTCTGGCAGATGGCTTGGGCAAGCAGCGGTAACCAGCAGGCAGCCTTGGCCTGAGGACAGAAGAGACCAGGGGAGGATGCGAGCGGCCTGAAAGAAAGGAAGCAGGGTCAGCAGGCGGTGAGTAGGGCCTCCTGACCCTGCCCTTTTCCATCTTCTGCCAGAATGACCCTGGACTGGCACAGCTCCTTGATCCTCACTGCCTACATCCTCATCTTCCTCACTGGGCTCCCTGCCAACCTGCTGGCCCTGCGGGCCTTCGTGGGCCGGGTCCGTCAGCCCCAGCCTGCCCCGGTGCACATCCTCCTGCTCAGTCTGACGCTGGCTGACCTGCTCCTTCTGCTGCTGCTGCCCTTCAAGATCGTGGAAGCAGCATCTAACTTCCGCTGGTACCTACCTAAGATCGTGTGCGCCCTCACCGGCTTCGGCTTCTACAGCAGCATCTACTGCAGCACGTGGCTGCTGGCCGGCATCAGCATCGAGCGCTACCTGGGGGTGGCCTTCCCGGTGCAGTACAAGCTGTCCCGCCGGCCCCTGTACGGAGTGATCGCTGCCCTGGTGGCCTGGATCATGTCCTTCGGCCACTGCACCATCGTCATCATTGTTCAGTACTTGAACTCAACGGAGCAGGTGGTTACTGGAAACCAGATAACTTGCTATGAGAACTTCACCCAGGAGCAGCTGGACCTGGTGCTGCCGGTGCGGCTGGAACTATGCCTGGTCCTGTTTTTCATCCCGATGGCGGTCACCATCTTCTGCTACTGGCGCTTCGTGTGGATCATGCTCACTCAGCCCCACGTGGGAACACAGAGGCGACGCAGGGCGGTGGGCCTGGCTGTGGTGACGCTTCTCAATTTCCTGGTGTGTTTTGGACCTTACAACTTGTCCCACCTGGTGGGGTTCTACTACCACCAGAGCCCCCCGTGGCGGGTGGAGGCTGTGGTATTCAGCTCCCTCAATGCCAGCCTGGACCCTGTACTATTTTATTTCTCAAGCTCCGTGGTGCGCAGAGCTTTTGGGAGAGGGTTGTTGTTGCTACGCAATCCGGGCACCTCTGTGCTGGGAAGAGGAGCCAAAGAGACAGCAACAGCAGAGGGGACCAGTGTGGACAGGGGTGTGAGTCAAGCAGAGGCCAGACCGAGTTCGGACTTCGCCACCGAGTAGAGACTTCTTCCCTGGACCTTCTGGGGCCTCAGGGTCACCCAGAAGTTGGGCAGCCTAGGAGTGCAAAGTTCCCAGACATAGAAATCTTCAGAACCCATGTGCACTAGGACTTGGTAAAACAGAAAAAAAAAGAAGAAGAAAAAAGATGTCTCCCAGCTTGGCTAACCGGTTGGCCTGAGGGAATATTCCATCCCGGGAGGAGGGGCAAGAATAGCTCTAAGACACAGAAGAAATGGCACCATGGATCTCAGAGGCAAGGTAGCCAATACAAATTCAGTCCTAAAAGAAATCTTGCTACAAATTTACAAACGCCTCCTAGAGACAGTGGTCTGGCTGGTGGTGCTGGAAACAGGCCAACAAAAAGGGATGAGAAAGAAATACTAAGTAAAAAGAAGTCTCAGAAAGGTTTTCTAAGCCAAGGGGTGAGCGTGGAGGATGACAAGAGGCTTAGATCTCTAATCTTGCTTTCTTTGTAGGGTTTGACTCGTGCTCTGTTGATTTTCACCTGTGGTCTCCCTGTTAAACTGGGGTCTGGGGTCCATCTTTATCCTCCATTGGTAGCCCCCCCGCCAGGATGTGGCTTGGTACTGGTCAGTTTGACAGTGGCACTAAGCTACATGAGAAAAAGTGGTTTGGCAGATTGAAAATAAAGCCTATGAAATTCTGAAGTGAGTGTTCACAGTTTTTGTCACACATCTGCAGGCCCCAGAGTAGGCACATAAGGGAGGGAGAACTGGGTGCAGCAGCAGAGGAAGAAGGGGATACAGTGAAGACCCCCAAAATGCCTTCAGGTGACAATATGATGTGGGTGGAGGAAGGGAGGATGCTGATGGGACCCTGCTGAGACGGATGACTGAGGAGGGGCTTAGTGGATGTGGGTGAGTCCCAACCTGTGTTTATCCATCGAGGGGGCTTAGAATGCATTCCTTCCTGCCCAGACATAGCTCTCTTGCATCCAACCTTTTCCTCTCAGAATTCAGACTACAGGTCTTTGCAGTCCTGTGTCCTCTGCCTTCTACCTGCTTAACTCTTTCCTAACACCTAATTCTCCAAACCCCCAGCACTGCAGAGGTTGAGGCAGGAGGATTGTGAGTTTGAGGCCAGCCTGGGCTACTCAGTAAGATTCTGTCTTTAAAAAGCAAGTACAATTTTTTGGGGGGGGTCTTTTTGAGACAGGGTCTCCCTGTAGCCCCAGCTGTCCTGGAACTCACTATGTAGACCAAGCTGGCCTTGAACTCACAGAGCTCTGCCTGCCTCTGCCTCCCAAATGCTGGGATTAAAGGGGTGCGGCACCACACCCGGCAAGTACAAAATTTAAAACACTAGAAATAATTTATTTGTTGTTCATTTTTGAAGACAGGGTCTCATGTTAGTAGCCCAGGCTAACCTCGAATGCCCTATGTAGCCAAGGATGACCTTGAACTCCTCATCCTCCTGCCTTTACCACCCAACTGCTAAAATTACAGGTGTGCACCACCTTTTTTTCCTATAAATAATATATTAAAAGCTGGGGTCAGCGAAATGAATCATCAGGTGAGAGCATTTACTATGCAAACCTGATGACCTGAATTTGAGCCCCAGAACCCAAAAAAAGTAGGGTGTAGTGGTTTGCATCTGTTAGCGCAGGACTCCTACAGCAATGAGAGGTAGAGATGGAATAAGCATCCAGAAGCTCAATGCTCTCAGGCCAGCTAGTCTGGAGTCCAAAGCAAAAACATCAAGACCCTGCCTCAAGGTAGAGGGAGAAAACTGATCCTGAAAGTTGTCCTCTGACCTCTATATAACTTATCATGCTATAAGTGCTCACACACATACACAGAGCACATGAACATCACACACATACAGCATGCATTCACTACATACATATCATATTCACATCATCATACACACAGTACACACACCCAGAGCACACACATCATTCACACACAGAGAGAACATGAACATCACACACACATACATCATAGACACACAGCACACACACAACATACACACATCATACATACACAGCACATATCATACACACACTAATAATAATAATAATAAATAAAATAATTAGAACACCAACTATAAGATGATTTGTCAGGAGAGAAGATTTGTGTAATGGTCCAGCTTACAGTGAGTCCGTGATGTAGCTCGCAAAGAAAGTTCATTTGGTATAGACAGCTTTAAAAGAAAAAATGTGCCGGGCCTGGTGGTGCATGCCTTTAATCCCAGCACTTGGGAGGCAGAGGCAGGCTGATCTCTGTGAGTTCAAGGCCAGCCTGGACTACATAGGAAAAAAAACACCACCCCACTTAGATCTGATCCGGTACATGTTCAATACTGAGTGACAGATTTATAAGGATATTAGTTCAGGGAATCAAGTCCTGAAAAATCAACGGGAGTGTTTTAGAGATTTAAAACTAGGTGTGGTCACATATGCCTTTGATCCCAGGTCTCAGGAGGCAGAGGCAGGCATATCTCTGTGAGTTCAAGGCCAGTCTGGTTTACATGGCGAGTTCCAGGCCAGCTGGGGCTACAGGGAGACCCTGTCTCAAAAAGACCAAAAAAATAAAAAATAAAAGAGGGCTGAGGGGACGGCTCAGTGGGTAAAAAGTGGAAGCTTCGAAAACCTGTGTTTGGATCCCAAGAACCCACATAAATAACCAGATGTGGAGCCAGGCATGGTGGCAGATGCCTTTAAACCCAGAATTCCTATGAAAAACTGGGAGACAGAGGTGGAAGAATCACCTGGAAACTCGTAGCCACTGAGCCTGGAGTACATAGCACAGCAGCAGAAACAACAGAAGACGGCTGAAGAGATGGCTCAGGGGTTAAGCGCACTGGCTGCTGCTTCTGCAGAGGACCTGGGTTCAATTCCCAACACCCACTTGGCAGGGGAATTTGGCACCTTCTTCTGACCTCCGTGGGCATTACATACATGGATGCATTTACATACATGCAGGCACTACACTCATACACATAAAAATAATAAATAAATAAATAAATAAAGTATTTTTTAAAAAAAGAAGAGACCCTCCTCAGCTTGGTGGAAGGTGAGAAGTGACTCTGAAGGTTAGTTGTCCTCTAACCTTCACATACATCACTGCACATGTGTGACAATGCACATGTGCGCAGGCACACACACACACACACACACACACACACACACACACACAAAGGAAAGAAAAGAAAAGCATATAATGACAATAAACTGGCTTCTAAGCCCAGCACTCAGGAAGTTAAGGTCAGCCTGAGCTACATAGTGAGACCTGTCTCTAAATAAATAATAAAATATAGGACTGGTAAAATGGCTCAGTGGGTAAAGGCACTTGTCATCATGCCTGATGACCTGAGTTCAAGCCCCAGAACCCACATGGTGAAAGGAGAGAGCAGACTCCCACTGACTGTCCTCTGACCTCCACATGCATGCTATGGCATGTGCCCTCCCCCCTCCATGCACGGGTGCACAAAATAAATAAAGCATAATCAATCAAGAATAATAAAGCAAGTAATAATTAAAGCTAATGATAATAGATCACATTAATGGCTAGGCTCTGTGATGCAGAAGGTGTTGGAGAGGGTTAGGGTAATGCTCCAAGATCAGGAGGTGAGGAGTTCAAATCCTAGGCCTTGTTCCACAATGTCTGTTGCCTTTCATTGACTCAGGAGAAGGAAGTGAGAGGGTGCTGGAGCTATGTGCCTAGAACACAGTAAGACCTGTTTTATGGAAGATGCATTCTATGTGGCCCCATGAGGAAGAGCAAAGATCATGACAAGTAGATATGTTTCCAGCAGCTAGGGCTGTTCAAACACGTTTACTACCCCAGCAAGCCAGTCACTCCCAATTTCCACGAATATTCACAGAGAAGATGGCAAATATACAGAGGAGAATGTTGAGTGAGCGCACTGCTGATAAGCCCAGCCAGTCACTGCCGGACCCTGCCCCAGGGTCTCAGCAACCGCATGCAGATCTTGATAACTGTGTTAGTTAATTTTCTGTTGATGTGACAAAATACCAGACAAAAGTGATTTAAGAAAAGAAGGGTTTGGGTTGGGGAGGTAGCTCGGTGGGTAAACTTGCTTTGCTCAGCAAGTATGACGACTTGCATCAAACCCCCAGCAGCCACATGAAAAGTTGAGCATGGCTATGTGTCCCCATCACCCCAACACTGGGGGTCATGAGGACAGGTGGATCCTGGGAGCTCCCTGGGCACCATAGCCAAAATGGTAAGCTTCCAGTTAAGTGAGAGACCATTGAGAAAGGCAACAGGTGGAGGACACAGATGAGACACCCCAAGTCCCACTCCAGTCTCTGTGTGTGTGCACAGCCACAGATATACCCACATACTCATGGTCATGTACCATATAATAGCCCCCACATACACATCCACCACACACACATGCACACACACACACACACACACACACACACCATACACCCCACACTGAGAAGGGTTCATTGTGTCTCACAGTTTGAGGGCATATAGCCCACCATGGCAGGAAGCCATGACAGTGGGAGCCTGAGGCAGCTGGTCATATTGCATCCGCAGTCAGGAAACAGAGAGAGAGAGAGAGAGAGAGATGACTGTTGGTGTTCAGCTCATTTTTTCCTTTTGGTTCAACCCAGGATCAGCCACACCCCCCACACCCCACATTCAGGATGGGTCTTCCCTCCTCAGTTAACCCTCCCTGGAAATACAGATAGGCCCAGAAGTGTGTCTCCCAGGTGACTCCAAGTTCAGTCAAGTTAACAATGACTATCAACCATCACCCTAGTCAAGTATAAAATGGAGTCTTTGGTCTCAGTGATATAATAGGAAAAGGTGGACTGAGTCTGCAAAGGTAAAGCTGTAGACACTGGCTTAAAGTGACCTTCAAGTCCCTTCAGGTATCAGCCCATGTTAACTGGAAAATAGTGATTCATGTGATCAATAAGTATGCATCAATTATGTCATAAACACCTCATAACTTAAAAATATAAACAAGGGATGATGGAGGCATGTACTTGTAATCCCTGTTCTCGGGAGGTTGGGGCAGGAGGATTGCTGGGAGTTAGAAGCTAGCTTGGACTCTGAATTGAGTATTGGTCACACAACAGCGCTACATAGCTTGAGACACTTTTTCACAAAGGGAGGGTGGAGCTGGAGAGATGGCTTGGCAGTTAAGAGCACTTGTTATTCTTGCAGAGGACATGGGTTTGGTTCCCAGTACACACATGGCAGCTCACAACTATCCATAACTCCAGTTCCAAGGGGATGCGAAGTCCTCTTCTGGCCTCTGCAGGCACCAGGCTTGCATGTGGTATATTTTTAATACATGCAGACAAACACTCATATACATAAAATAAAAATAAAATCGTTTTTTCACAAAGCTGGGGGAAGAGCTTAGATATGACAATGGGTAAAGGTCTTGCTGTACAAGCATGAGGACCTGGGTTTGGATCACCAGATCCAAAGCTGGATGTGGTGGCATACACCTGTAACCCCAGCACAGGGGACAGAGGAGGTGGAGATAAGGGGATCCTGGTGCCCACTGGCCAGT